CCAACAGAAAGTATGCCGGAGGGACTTGATCCATGTGGTGGAGCCTTTGCAAGGAGGCCTGCACATGAGGGTGTGCATGAGCAGTCCAAATTCTTGATGGCAAGGATTTGGGGGTAGGATTATTCATTGATTGGATCGATGACTGAATATCCGCTGTGTCCTTCCCTCCAAATCAACTCATCAAAGCATTCTGGAGCCTACTCTTCTAGTTTTACTGATGATAGATATGTACTAACAACACTGAAACAGAGACAGGACATGTATTTGGTATTTTTTATTTTGAGCCTGATACCTGGTATAGAGATCGTTTGTTGGTACTTTCTGCAGGTACCTGGTACTTCCTGGGGGGTACCCCTTGCACCCGCCCCGCACCCGCCAGGAGGTGCCAGGTGTGGTACTTGGTACCTATTTTTGTGAAAAATTGAACAGGTACCTCCTCACTTCCCTTTTTTAGCCTCTGTACGCCATGCACCAGATGGCTTAGTTCAGTGGTAGAGCAGGTCTGTACCATGACTGTGACATGGGTTTGACTCCCATAGCTGTCACTATCTTTTCATGTCTCTTTATTCCCTACCAAAAGGGGGGCGGGGCTGCACAAAAACCAAGTGAGAAAGAGAGGGGAGGTACCTGAGGTACCTGCAACAGGTACCTTAGGTACCCCCCAGGAGGTGTCTGGTGTGGTACATGGTATCTATTTTCTTGAAAAAAAAAATGAACAGGTACCTAGGTCTGAACAAACAATCTTCAACCTGGTATCAGTCTTTCCTTGGTTGGTGAGAAAATCCACCGACTTGGATTCAGATTTACAAATTCAAAAAAATGTCTTCTTCTTGTTTTTTTCCTACAATGCAGCCAAATATCTGGTGTATCAAAGATGTTTTTGGTGGGATCATCCCTCTCAGACAATGCAGAATATGTGTTTCACTTTCCAAAGAGAATGTGTGTATAATTGTCTCAGGAAAGTGAGACAACACAGATCTGTTTTTTTTTTGGGTATTAAAATTCTGAGACAATACAAATAAACACCTGATACCCTCTCGTCTTGTCTCTGTTTGAGTGTTGGTAATAATATTGCCATTACCAAAAAGCTTGGCTGGTTTTTGATCCCACTTCAAGTTTTCTGCAAAAGACATAATTATTTCTTTTTTCCTGATGTTGGTCAGATAATGCCCAAAAAGACGGAACCACCCTTGGAGCCTGCTGTCCCCTCCAGAAGAGGTAATCTAAATCCGAGTTCAGATTCTGAACTGGAAAGAATTGTACACCCCTGAAACTGTTCCTACCCCCTGTTTCTTGCTGCCCTCTGCTCCAACAGAGGGGCCAACTTAGGATGTAAAAGGGTCAGGTTTGGGCCCAAAAAACAGTGCCCAAACCCGACCTGACGGAGACACCTATGTTGGGTCAAAATTGAATACATGCTGCCCAGACCCAAACCCATCTTGGGACTTGTCGGGTTTGGGTTGGCAGTATGCATGTCGGGTTTGGGCCGACCCAAGTGTTATAGCCTTTGCAGAGAAAATATGATAAAAACTTACCTGCCTGACTAAAACACCTGCCCAAACCCAACCCGCTAAGTTTTTGTGTTGGGTTTGGGTCATGTGATTTTCTCACAAATTCTGCCCAAACCTGACTCCCCCAAAGTGATTATCAAAGAGAAAAAATCCATACTTTTTTTTATTTTTCACAAATCTTGAAATACTTTTTGATTTTATTTTTTTCATATTCATTTTTTGGGTCCTATTCTGCACCACTTGCTAAAGTCTCATGACTTCAAGTTTGTGTTTTGGAGCTCTGTGATCCAAAATAATCAGCCACTTTTCAGTGTCTATCCACTGTACAAGGACTTCAAATCCAGTTGATCAGTTCCCATTGAGATCTAAGCACCATGTATAATATGTTTGGAGCCTCAGTGTTATGGGTCTTCTGGGGAGAGCAGGTGAGGGATCTTCTGGGTTCTGAGTCTTGATGGTAGATTGCAAGATGAGGAATGTACCAGGTGTGGATCTTGAACAAACTCCAAGTTCAAGGTTTGTGACATGTACATAACAGGCTCTCTGCAATGGCATATGTAACGTCCCCAGTTCCACTCCGCCACAGCCCATAACACTCAGGGACCAGCTTGAACTACCAACAACTATCCTTCTTGGGCTTTAATTGAAATCCGAAAGGTTTCCAGATTTTCTTGGACAGAAGGGTTCCTGGAAAAGAGACCTGAGGTGCAAGGAAGGAAAGCACACTTATTATAAGATAAATGATGTTCCTCAAGGATAAGGTTCATGAGAGATGACAATAATATTTCTCTGAATGTGAGAAAAATTTATCTATGTACAACTGCAGGTAAAAGCTGTGGTACATTGGGAGAAAGTGTGGAACATGCACGAGAGAAACAAATGAAAAAGAAAGAATGTGATAGATGATATTCCAATGGATTATCTTGAATGGATTTTGTGATAGAGGAACAATGTTTCAGTAAAAAATTTCAATGCAAAACATTTGGATCTTATGGAGTGTAAGATATGGATTCTGGAACTATCTGATGTATTACTTTCAAAACATAAAAATTGTGGAACAGTGAACCTGAAATTCATTTGAAGATTCTTGAGCCAACATCAAAGGAGTAATAAATGCTTGCAAGCATGCTATAGTAAAAGATCAAGAAAAGAGTAGTGGCTTTATACAATCTCTTTTTCTGTTCCCAAATCAAGTCTGGGTTGATTTTACTGTCTAATTCTATCACAGAGTTTCCTTCTATTTCACCTGCAGTTCCTTTTGCAAGAGATTGTTTCCCTTTTAATTCTTGCTTGTTCTCATCCACAATCACTCCTGTGTTAATATCTGAAGAACATGGAAAATCATCTTCAGTAGACTTATTTCTTTGACTCAAGCCAGAAATGCCTTCCTCTTTCTTTCCTAGAGTTGTGGGTCTGTTGAAATTTTGCTTTTCACTCTACAAAGAATCACAATTAAAATGTTGGTTCACTAACCCATCTATACAGGAAATGTTTGAATGATGAATCTCAAGATGTTGCTCACATGATAAGTATTATAATCCAATTCTTCTGTTGATCTCTCAATTTCTTTCACAAGGGAACTATCAGCTGGAATTTCATGGTCCATGTTTGATGCCTCTGAAAATCTGGGAGGACCTTCTTTATGTTCATGGACCACTAATCTTGATCCATCAATTGATTCTGAAGCAAAACATCTTCCAAGAAGCTATTCAAACACCCATATTTGTTAGTTATAGGAACCTCCACTAAACATATAACTGGGAATGAAATGACTCAACAACTAGGGCTGTCAGCAACTTGTCAAACATGTGGAAAAATATGGATTTGATTAAGAAAGATTGAACCAAGTGTGGAAATTGGGATTGAAAGGAGATTGTGTGATGCAGTCAAAATAAAACATTCAGGTATTGTTTCTATGTACCAGAAATGAAAACTTTGTGGTTCTTTGCAGAAAAAAAAATGTGAAACTGTTTGTGATTTATATATTATCATCAATTAGCTATTCAAACACAAACATTTTTCAGTCAGAGGAACCTTAATCAAAAATACAACTAAGTATGAAATAGATCAACAACTAAGGCTATTAGAAACTTGTAAAACATATTGAAACATATAATTTACATTAATTACATATTCTCAGGCCTTCAAAAGCTTCAAACTTGTGTTCAAATTCCTCAGCAAGACATGTAGCAACACTGAAACAGATATGGTATCTGCCATGTATGTGCCATGTATCACTCCATGTATCTGCCATGTATCACTCCATGTATCTGAGCCCCCCCCCCCCCCCCCCCCCAAAAAAAAAAAAAAAAAAATTTGTCCAATGTTCTTTTATTTGCAAGGGGATGCAACAAATTTGGTTTTTGGCCATTTAGCTTTGCAGAATTCTCCATGATACACACAGTGTATATATCTGTTACATGTTGCATGTAGCATCATTCCCTATGGTAAATTGCTTGTCAGCACTGGTCTCTTATGTGACCAAGTGCTGATAGGGCTTTGGTTCACGCTTTTGATCAGAGGAGTCATTAGTGGAATAGAACCTCACCTCAACACACTTAACAGTGGAGTGGTTTGATACTTAGAAATATAAAGAACAACAGTAGAATGAGATTCACTATGTCTGAGCAATGAGGACAGTTGCTGATGGTATAAAACAATCCTGTCCCGCCTGCAAAGTTCAAAATTGACACTTGGGGACTATGCTGGGGGGGGCATATACCCTCACACTCAATTTTATTGTGGTTTTGAACTCATACACATGTGTAGAGCTCAGGATTTTAACCACTAAGCCTCTGCATCAGTGCTTCTTAATTTTTTCTGCTGTATGCATGTATTCAGATATGCCTAAATCCATAACTATGCGGTTTGACCATGTATGGTCATGGGGTTATACCTTGTAGTCTCCTTTATCATGCCTGTAGCATATTCTATGCATTGGGGCATGCTCTACAGTATTGACAGTGGGCCGCTATGCTACACTACACTATTTCACCACTAACTGTTAGCATAGTGGACCATTTTTTTTTTCTAGAAATTCTGTAGTTTTAGCTCACGCTAAACCCCACTACACTAACTGTTAGCGTAGTGTAAATCTTTCTCTCAAATTTTTTGTTAGTTTTACCTTCAAAAAATCTCAATTAAACTAACAGGTAGTGTAACTTTTTTGTGCTAACAAATTTTTGACTGTCATATAGTGTAACCGATTTGATGCTAACATTTAGCGCAAATTATACCAAATTAAGCTGCACTACACTACACTAGGGATGATAATTGGGCGGGTTTGGGCCGCCCACAGGCTAGCCCGGCTCTACCCGCAACTCAATCGGGCAGGCCAGGCCGGCTAAAAACATGAGATTTTGATATCCAACCCAAGTTTGTGTCCGCAA